ATTCCTGACCTGTGATTGTTTCTATTTCAAGCTGATAGGCAGACTTGGGGCATCCTGTTCCTAACTGTCTGACTTCCTGTACCCTTTCCCTACTTTCTTCCTTCACTTGGGTGGTCACCTTGCAGATGTACCTGGTGGGAGCCAGGGAGTCTTGGGGGAGCAGAATCAGCAAAACAAAGCAACACAATAACATTCCCTTTAAAAAACTAGTCAAAGAACAAAGTAGGTAGTGAAATAAGGGCCAAAGCAGGAAAAAATGGGTATAGTAAGGTCAGTGATTAATAGATATAGCATTCTGCTTTAAAGGGAAGGGTTGCCTTTTTTTTTTTTCTTATGCTCGAAGTCAAGGTCATTCATCCAAACTGCTGATATGAATTTTAAATATTTAACCCATTAAACTTTATGTTTCTTCACTGTCTTCCTAGAGATTTGTCAGGCAAAATACTAGCTAGTATTTTAACTAGTTGGTTACAAGAGCTAATCTGTCAGCTTTGATTTTAATATTTGACAGTGCTGAACGCTGAATGCAGTTAGTTGGGTAGCCAGTCAGTGATAAAATAACAAACAAAAGCCATGGCAGTTATGTTCCTTACCTTTCATGTTTTGCCTACCATTTCACAAAAAGTTTATGGAGGCATTTTACTAAATTCAAAATGAGAAACTATTCAAAATGCCAGGTGTGTCTGTGATAGCCTCTTGCAGACAGCCAGCCACAGCAGCTAATTCTCACCAGAGTTCAACCGACAGGCATTTTTTATTCAAAAACTATAATCATCATCATTTGGTCGTGTTTAGCTTAAAACAATCTACAGCTTGGGGAAGCTTTCATCAAATTGCTAGTTTGTTCCAGCCTCTGGAGTTTATCATTCCATTGTCCTCTGAGTTACCTCTTTTCACGCCCAGTTTCTTTATCCCCAAGTCAGTCAGAGAATGAGGTCACAGTGCTGCCATTGATCTCGCTCCCCAGGGTGGCATCACCACGCAGATTGAGGAACCTGAGAGAAAGGTGCAGAAAATGCTAGGACAGCGTACTTTTGAGCCATTTCCAAAAGTCTCTCTCTCTGTCTATCCCACCTCTCTTGTAGGAATCGCGGCATGCCTCTAAGAAGGGTCTGTTGCTAGGGTTCCAGCATGTCTGGGCATGTCTGGCAAACTGGTGAGGCAGGACTGAAAGAAACCTGCTGACAAGGGGCTGAACCTGCTTCCTAGAACTGAAATCACTTCAGTGGAGGCGGATTCGACAGCGAAGCCTTCTAAAAGACTTAAGTCATTGGATGGGGAGTAATAAATGCAGCGTGGGATAGCTGTTACTCCACATTGTCTCCAGTCCAGGTCCATGGAACTCTGTCTGGGTCCCTAAGAGAAACAGAGCTCTGAGTCTAGACATAAAGGACTGTTTCACTGAAAACCAAATGTGAGATTGGGCACAAGCGGTTGGCTCCGGGTTGCCCTGAAAGAGGTCCACAACACATAGCTATTTCTTCAGGCTTGCACCTGAAGGGTGCTTGGTGTTCTGGCTGTTGGTTGCATCCGGGATCCCGGTAGGATCCTGCAGAGCCTGGAGAGTGGAGGAGCGGGGTGGAAGTGGGGGTGGGGGTGGGGGGGCCTCAGGGAGTAGAGTGTTTGCCTTTGAGAGAAACTCCTTACCCCCAGGGGTTCCCAGAAAGCCGAAGGTGCTTGAAGGTAGCAGAGGCAGTGAAATTCAAGTCATTGTTTCTAATTGACCTCATTAGTGGTGTGGTGGAAGAGTTTGAATATTATTCCTAATCAAATAGCTCTTAAGCTATGATGTGATACTATGCAATTTATAATTAAATTTAACATCGTGCATTTCCAAGCAGAAAGGAAGAAATGGTAATACAGTGATTCAATCAAGGAAGGGCCAGTATTTCTTTTTTCCCTAAATTTCCAGTGGACCTATTCTTTTGTAAAGTATGGTAACAGTGAGTTACCTGAATCAGAAAATAAAGTGGAATGATATCAAAGACATAAGCAACTTTATTTTATTATTAGAGGCAGCAGACATCAAATTATTCTGTCAAGTTGTTAGAAAAGTTTCCAGAAGTTAATTTTAGTACTTCTCCAGCTGCAGCTGCAGTTGTGGAAGGGCATCTGGTCTGCAGACCCCCTCTTTTTGTGGTGTCAGCCAACTTCTCACCTTAGGCTACCTGAAGGCACTCATCAAACCTCCCTGCCACTCCGGGTCCTCTCCGCCAATGGCTGTATAGGAGAGTGTCATGCTCTGAGGATATATTTGCAGAGTATTCATTTGTGCTTGCAAGTCAACCAACCAGGAAAATGAGAAAGGGAAGTGAGAGAGAAAGAGACAGAAGGAGGGATGAAGCACATGGAAATGTGGGAAAATATTGGTAACTGATGAATCTAGGCTTGCACGTGTTCATATCCACTTCATTCAAGTTCTCAAAATATTTGCTACTAAGCAAAACAAACGTCATTACTGATGGGAAACACATGATTTTACTCCAAAAAGCTGATTCTAACATAGCTTATTGGAGTCTGTAAGAATAAATAATAATGAACTTGGAGCGTTCGTTTGTAGCTTTGATGCATGTCATTTCTGTGCATTTAATCTCCATTCACTTTTACTCATTTACACCTTATACCATAGCTCTTAAACATTAGTTACTTCAATCCTATCAAGTTTTTTTTTTTTTTTTAAAATCCACCGTCCTTCAAAGTCAAACTTTTTATGAACGATTTTCTGCAATCTGACCTTTAACTCTTCGTTTTCTAACTTTGCTTTTTAGGATTACTACATTGTCATGAATAAGTTTTTATGCTATTCAATGGTAAAGCTTCCCAGTCTTACACAGAATTCACCAGATCAACTAAATCAAACTTACATGTCATCATAGATCTTAGTATACACAAATTCTGCATCTTCATAAAGTTTTCCTTGATTGATTCAGCCAGTTGTGAGTCTCAATGTCCAGGAATTAAGTATCAAGCCTGGTACATAAACTTAATATAATGCTTTTGGGTTAAACTCTTTAAGAATTCTAAAGAGTTGTACTCTAAAGAGTACAGGATGATAACATACATTCTTCAATCTCAAAAAAGTAGCTTTGAAGTTAAAATGTTGATGTTAGTATTCTACATCATACATGATATCTGCAAACCATCCTCCTATATTATCATGTATTATTTTTGTTTCTGCCTTCTCTTAAAGCAACATAGGAATCAAGAACAGATGCTTCAAAAATGAAGCCAGCAGACATAATATTGGAGTACCCGTGGTATTGGAAGACTTTCCAAAATTGTGTTTGAGCAAGGGAATTCTGTTCTGGTTCAGGTTCTGTCTATGCTTTGGTAGCCACCCTAAAATTGATCTGCCTGAAAATATGCCCCCCTGGGGCTGAGCATGTAATGGGGGGTGTGTGTGTGTTCTCTCCAGTCTCACTCGTTTTAAGACCCCACCCTCCCCCTATTTTACAAAAGAAAGGCACAATTCTTTCCTGTCCCAAATCTTACTAAGGTGCCATTCCCCAGGGATGCAAAAGCCTCCAGGACACCCAAAAAGGGAACAATCACTACTGAATGAGAATGGATAACACATCCTTTTTCAAGTCAGGGGGTTGTCAGTTAGTCGCTTTCAACAAGGTTGAAAAAGACCCGATCAGAGTTGTCAGCTGATAGATCATTAAAAGTATTTTTTCTTTGTTAGATCTTTATGTGATTTTTTGGCGTATAATTTGGAAGGAGTTCAAAGATTTAGACTGCCTTACTACAACAAAACTCCATTCATTCTCACCTACTTATTTATGCAAACAAGTTTCCTCAATGCTTACATCCATGGGACTGAAAAATTGGAATTGGATTGAAGCAGAATTCTCATTTTAGTAGTACTCATCCACTGAGTAAGTAAAAAAAAAAAAAGCTGGAAAAAACTCACTGAACTCAGTTTCTGCAAGATACATTTCCACCAATGTTACTTTTGTGTTTAGTACTTATTTTTTAAGAATTCGAACTACATTTGTTTGTATCAGTTGACAGGAAATTTAAAGACAACACCTTTTTAGTATATGATCACTAAGGGAGTTCAAATATAAAATGTAGTATTAGGATAAAATTCTGAAGGTGTGGTGTATAAATGAGTTCTAGAAGATAAAGGATGGCAATGACCCCAATATAAACGAGATTGTATTTAAAACTGGGGATATTGGCGGTATTAAATTGCCATGTATTTATTTAGAGTTCCTTCGTTACTTTAAAGTGTGAGAAAATATTCTTAACAAGCTAGAAAAAGTACATGTTACTTAAACTGTATAAGAACATACAAAATTATTTCAGAGGGCTCATGGGCTAAGAAGTTGGAAGATCTTGAACATAAAAGACCGATGACCTGAGACTGTGATTGAACCAACTCTTGGGGGACTCAAACTCAGGTTTGATGGAAACCTGTAGCTCCCTGTGGCTCCTTGAATTGCATTATTTATTTGGATTCACGTCAGTCGCCTCTCCTAGCCGACTGTCAGCGCTCAGAAGCCCGAGGACTTGCTCGGGCTGGCTCGGCGCCAGTCCCCGCTCCCCAGACCCCGCAGGGATGAGCGATTTCATCCCGAGGACTCCGAGAGCACTTCAAATCCCTGGCCCGCAGACTAAGATTGCGCGCGCCCGCCAGCGGCGGGGCGGGCCGGGGCGGGGCGCGGGCGTGGGAAGGCGGGGAGGAAACTCCGAACCCTCGTTGGGGCCGGAGGGGCGGGGCCGTGGCGCGAGCTCGGAACCCGTAGCCTGGGAGGTGCCGCCTCGTGCCGCCGCGCAGGCGCGCTGCCATCTCCGCGAGAGTGCGCGCACTGGCGCGCCTGTCCCCGCGCGGGCTCCGTAGCGCGTGTGCGGGCTGACGCAGCTCGCGGGCCCTCCTCCTGCTCTGCGGCGGCGTCGGCGGAGTTTGGGGCGTTGGGGAGGGGGCGAGGGAGCCAGAGTCGAGAGAGGGAGGAGGCGGCGGCGGCGGCTGCGGGGAGGAGGAGGAGGAGGAGGAGGCGGAGGAGCAGGCGCCGCCATGGCCGCCGCTATCACCGACATGGCCGACCTGGAGGAGCTCTCCCGCCTGAGCCCTCTGCCCGCCGGTAGCCCTGGCCCAGGGGCGAGGGGCCAGGCTGAGCCCCCCGAAGACGAGGAGGACGAGGAGGAGGAGGAAGAGGAGGCCGAGGCCGAGGCGGTGGCGGCGCTGCTGCTGAACGGCGGCGGCGGAGGTGGTGGGGGCGGCGGCGGAGTGGGGGGCGGCGAGGCGGAGACGATGTCGGAGCCGAGCCCCGAGAGCGCCAGCCAGGCCGGGGAGGACGAGGACGAGGAGGACGACGACGAGGAGGAGGAGGACGAGAGCAGCAGCAGCGGCGGGGGCGAGGAGGAGAGCAGCGCCGAGAGCCTGGTGGGCAGCAGCGGCGGGAGCAGCAGCGACGAGACGCGCTCGCTGAGCCCCGGCGCCGCCAGCAGCAGTAGCGGTGATGGGGACGGCAAGGAGGGCCTGGAGGAGCCCAAGGGACCGCGGGGCAGCCAGGGCGGCGGCGGGGGCGGCAGCAGCAGCAGCAGCGTCGTCTCCAGCGGCGGCGACGAGGGCTACGGGACTGGGGGAGGCGGAAGCAGCGCGACCTCCGGGGGCCGGCGAGGCAGCTTGGAGATGTCGTCGGACGGGGAACCCCTGAGCCGCATGGACTCCGAAGACAGGTCAGTGCACTGAAGCGTTTCCCCTTCCCTTCCTCCTCTCGCACTCCTGGGCCCCTCCGAGGGGACTTTTGGCCGCGATCCCCCAGCTCCCCGAACCCTCGGCCCCTCCCCCAGGCTCTCAACTCGGAAATCTCTGCGGGCCGCCGCGCCCCTCTCGCAGCGGATAGCGGCTTCCAACTCTAGACCATTTCCCCCAACTCTTCTTTCCCCGCCTTCTTTCCCCTCGGCTCTGCGCTGCGTTCGGACCCAAGGACAGTTCTGGCCCGCAAACTGTCCCCAAAGTAGGCCCAGATCCTCGGGCGGAGCCGAAGAAGGCCTTGATGTACACACCTCGGTACACAAGGTTAGCTTCACCCAACCGTGTTCACGAACACTTGTCAGAACTATAATTGACAAGTGTTTTCCAACATGGCTGGTCTCGCCTGGATTTAGAACTTAGTAGTTCACGGAGGAGATCCCCAAGTTTCACTTCTACCTAAAGCAAGAAAAAGGTTAGTCCTTTTATATTTAAACGATGCTTTCAGAGTTCACCGTTTGTAGTCATTAGTGTGGTCTCCAAAGTGATTTTATTAACTGCCCCGATTTGTTTTGCGATCAAATCTGGGAGAAAGTTTAAAAGTCGCCTAAGTCATTGTCGGAACGAATAGTGAATTGACGCCTTTTCTAAAAACTTCACGGGACCGAAGAGAATGGGAATCGCACCAAACACAGGTACAGCACTTTTATGTGCGGCTAAAATTTGTTTATATAGTAATAGTTCAACCTTAGCATCCTGATTTTAGATAATAACATTTAAAGTCATGTGTTGAAGCGGTCTGTGAAGAAGTAGCTTTTTTTCAAAGCTTGCTAGAAATAAAGTGGACAAAATGTCTTTCACTTTTTTGGATCATTAAAATTTTCATTGTATGTTTCAGATGCTCCTATCATTACTTTTTGATCTTTTTGGAAAACTTATTTTAGTTAATGGGTTTTTAATGCACTTTTTGAACGGAGAACCTCATCGTTAATATATTGTTTCTCAGGTTTATTACACTATTTTACCATCTACTGATGTTTTGATGAGCAGTAGAATTTTTAACAATTGAGTTGGTTGTAAAAGTTTGAGTACTCTCAAGTTCTAGGAATTCTGGTTGTTGACTGATAAAAATTAACACTTTGGGTTATATTTAATGTCTTTTTTTATTGTTAAAATACAAATTCCTACATATTTTGGAAATGATTAGATTGAGTTTGACATTTTAATGTCTATTTAAAACTTGTTGAGGTAAAATAGACTAATAAACTTTGGGAATATTTTACTGGTCTGTGGAATCATAGGCAATGTCGTTAAGAAAATTAAAATTTGTTGTGGACTGTAGAATGAAGCATGTGCTATTTATAATTTTTTAATAGCCCTTAGTAGCAGTAGATATTTGAAAGTTGATGTTAGTTATACAGCCAGATTCTACCACAGTTCTTCAGTTTTACCTAGCACACACAACACCTAACACTGCAGTTGTAAATTGCCTTAGTCTTTTCATTCTCACAAGGTAGAGAATGAAGAATCAAGTTGACTTGTCTTATTCAAAACAGTAAATACAGGCTATAAGTGGTGGAGCTCTGAACTTTGCAAGAGATAGAATAATTCACTTTACATAACAAGCTGTATGTATCAAGTGTTATTTTTAATTTTTAGTTAATACCTGTCCTTTGCAGCCCTCTAGGAAGGAGTGAATTAGTGGTGAAGTATTGTTTCAGGAAGAACAGTTTTGGCTTTATTACATATTTGTTAGACATTCATGAGACTATCTGGTTTTTACCTTATAACTCACGTTAAGGAAGCAATAATGTTGGTGCCACATGTACAAGGTTAAAAACTTAACTAACCAAACATACTTTTGCTTTTTCCTAATGCTTACACATTAGACGCTGCAAAATCCTGTAATCGATTTACCATCTCAGGGTAACAGATTTATGACTTGAATGAAAAGTCTTATTAGAGAAACTGGTTATGGGCTTGATATTCTTAATTTTGAAATGTTCCCTTGTTGCCTGTGAGGGTTTTTGTTTTTTCTTGCTTTGATTTGGAAACTACTATAGTTGACATTATCAGTTGTCCTGTAGATTACACCAATGTAATTGGATTTTATAGATTGATTTCATGGTAGGAAGTCTTTATTTTTGTAACTGATGGAAGGATATTGTGGTTTTAGAGTGCTTTTAAAAAAGTGAGGGCATTTCTATGGCAGTGATTTTATTATTATTAGACTTTATTCTTTCTATTAGAATACCTATTCAGATTTTCTATCATTTTGAAATGGATTGTACTTCCTGAGTTTATCTATTTGTTGCAGTCTCAAGTATTTTTAAATGTAAGGGCTTTAAAAAAAATAATCAGGTAGTAAAGTATGTGATCCAAGGTGTCATTTCACAAACATGTATTGAAGTGCTGTGGTGAAAATTGACTATGAAATGATTTTTGTTTTGGTAAATTTGAAAACTTTGAAGTTGACAATGTAGTTTACTTTTAACTTTTGTTTAAAAAAAATGGGATTTTCTTTGGGGGAAATAGGTAGTTGTATAGGACCTTTAAGTACTTTATAAAAAATTACACTTTAAGGTTGAGTTTAGACAGTAAACTTTTGGAGTTTAGAATGCCTTGATGTTTGTGTGTATATAGACTTTTGGAGTTTAAAATGCCTTGATGTTTGTGTGTATGTTCAACTAGAATATAAGCCATGACTTATTTTGAAAAAGCCAAGACCACGATTCTCATCACTCTTACCTCTTTCTGGATAAATCCAAGTGTCACGTTTTAGTTGCCTGTGGGGTAGGGTGATAACTGTGATAGAGGCTAAGCTTGTAAATCACATTAATACTTGAAGTCTACATGTAGAGGTTGTGGGCAGTATTAGGGATCTGTGGTTGAGCCAGTAAAAGACTTTGTCTAATAACATTTGGCTCATACTTACTGATAGAAGAACCCCAGTGTACTAGCTACCCCCTCGATTTCTGAAGCAGCTGTTAGTGTCCAGAATTCATTTTTTAGCTTCCCTTTCATTTTTATTAAATTTAGGGAAGAGAGCTAGTCTCAGTTTTTATTAATACTATACTTAATTGCAACTCTATTAAGATAAGTATGACTCTGTGCTAAAAACTAAGTGGAAAACATAAAAACTATGGATTTTGGGATTGAATTTATATGGAGAGATTCTGAGGAGCCATTTCATTTTTTGAAAAAACTATTAGCACCTTACTGGTTCAGTTAGGGTGTCCTGTGTATGAGGAAATTTACTGCCAGGCATAGGTACATAATGTGTACAGAATTTTTTAAAAAAGATTTTTATTTATTTATGCATACTAGAACTGGGGGGTGAGAGGATTCACCAGAGACAGAGTGGGGAGCAGAACAGGCAGATGTACTGAAATACACTGCTGAGGGGGGCAGCTGGTGGGTCAGGAGAGGTCTGCTGCAACATATGGGTCACTTCCCTGGTGGGCTAGTGAACTCCTGCTTTAGTGGCTTCTGATAGCTATGTAGTGCTGTGCTTTAACCCGTTGCATCACGAGAGAGGGCCCTATGCAGAATTCTTTATGGATGATGAGGGAGATAGGAAGACAAAAATGCATTCCATTTCATCCATTTTGTCTGTTGTTGCTAGACACTTAATTCCAAGCTGTAGATTTTGCCTTGTCTCCTTGCACAAAAGCTTTATTGACTTTAATGTAAGCAAGCTAGACATTTCAAGCTTATCTGTTACATTCTTTGTTGCCATGTAACAAATGTCCCCTAAATTTAACAACTTAAAAAATAATAAACATTTTGTTATCTTGGGGTTTCTGGCTTCATAATGGAGAGGCTTAGCTGGATCATTTTGATTCACGATCTCACTAGGTTTGTAGTGAAAGGGTCGCCAGCACTTTTGGTCATCTGAGTGCTTGACTGGGGCTGGAAATCTAAGTCCAAGATGTCTCTCATATGGGCACTCTTGTCAGGAGTCCTCAGTTACTCACCCAGTAACTGAGACTGTTTACCCTCCGAGGAAGTGATCTGAGAGTAAGGAAAGAGCAGTGTTCTTTATGATCTAAATAAATCTTTAACACTTTTTCATACATTTGCATTTAGTAGATTTTCTTACATAAAATTGCTTTACATTTTTGTTGATCTAGACAACCTTTCAGTGACTTTTTTTGTTTGAAATTGGGCTTTAATTTTTCCTCTAATTCACATATTTGTACTTGTTAGTTTTTCCTCTCTGTATAGCTTTCTTCTGTAAGTGGAGGGAATATTGCAGTATAAATAGGTCTAAAGACATAGTAGGAATCTTAGTATTGCCACATATATTATTATTTTAAGTAATAGCTTAGATGCTTTATTTCTGAGGTCCAAATGATTTTCTTCAAGAGCTCTGAACTAACAAGCCACTTGAATGCTTGCCTTATCTTTTTTTAGATTGGTATTTTTGAAATTATTTAAAACAGCTCATTTCATTATTATTATTAGTGTTAACAATAACAATAGAATTGTAAACAATGGTACTAACCAGGGTCAGGAATTGGATCATTTTATCGACATTGATGATTTAAGGTTAGCTTTCTCTGGGAATATGCTTCACCAATTAACCTGTGAAATTGTATGCTAAAATTCATGTGCTTCTCTGAGAACACATCTTAGACTTCAGGTTCTCAAAGTACTTCTTCTAAGTTGAGAACGTACTGATTTAGTGAAGATCCAGAAGTGAAAGTAAATATATGATGGGACAAGTCGGAAATTGTAAATTTCTATAAAAAGCGTATTTAAAACACTGAGTGTGATGCAAACTCTGCAGTGATGATTTTTTAAAAAACTATTACTAGAAGCAGAGATTAATATCTTATGAAATAAAATGGATAATTTGAAATTGGGGGAAAAAGGCATGGGGGGGGAGAGTGCTTTATGAGTCAGAATATTTGGATTTAAATTCTGGTTCTCAAGCTGGATGACCATGGGGCAGTTATTTAAGTTATTTAATGTCTTAGAA